ACATCTGCTGGCTTTGTTGTGAATGAAGCTGACAAATGTGTGTACTATCGGTATGGTGGGGGTGAAGGAGTCATTTTGTGCTTATATGTTGATGACATACTGATTCTTGGATCCAACCTCAAAGTGATCGAGGAGGTGAAGGAATTTCTATCTAAAAATTTTGAGATAAAAGATTTGGGAGAGGCTGATGTTATTCTTAATATCAAACTTCAAAGAGAAGGTGATGGTGGGGTAACTCTGTTACAAACCCACTATGTGGAAAAGGTGCTGAGTCGCTTTGGATTCAGTGACTGTGCACCTGCTCCTGCACCTTATGACCCTAGTGTGCTATTGAGGAAAAATCGGAGAATAGCAAGGGATTAGTTGAGATATTCCCAGATCATTGGTTCGCTCGTGTATCTTGCTAGTGCAACAAGGCCTGACATCTCATTTGTTGTGTGTAAGCTGAGCCGGTTTGTGTCAAACCCGAGAGATGATCACTGGCGTGCCCTTAAGAGAGTAATACGCTACCTAAAAGGGACCATGAGCTATGGTATTTGTTATACCGGACATCCGAAAGTGCTGGAAGACTATTGTGATACCAACTGGATTTCTAATGCTGATGAGCTTTATGCCACAAGTGGATATGTGTTTTCGCTTGGAGGTGGTGCTGTTTTCTGAAAGTCTTGCAAGCAGACTGTCTTAACGAAGTCTACGATGAAAGCAGAACTCACAGCATTAGTGTCGGATACCACAAGAAGGGGTACCCTAAGCAAGATCCAAGAATATTGCTTAAGCCTTGCTAAAACCAAAGCCAAAAGACTACTGCAAGGTCTCAGCAGAATTCTCTGATTCGCCCGAGGCCTTGCGCCGAGGCCTAATGCGAAACAGGCCTAAAACGTCCCGCCGAGGCCCTCTCGCCGAGACCCTCTCGCCAAAGCCTCGCCCCGAAAGGCCTCGGACGGATCTCCAATTCTCCGATTCGCTCGAGGCCTGGCTCGGCGGACGTACTCGTAACCTCCATCCCGACCGAACTCCTGGCAAAACATCACGTCCGGATTAAATGCACCCAACCACTCCCGCAAACGTCAGCCGCACGCAGGTACAGTGCAGGCAGAACAACTGACAGGACAGCGACCGGGCGCAGCAGGGGTTACCTGCCACTATACTCACCACTGTGCTCCCCCTTGACACTTATACTGCCCTGTGCTACCTAACCACTGCGCCAAGGACAAAGCGGCATGGAAGCTCGAGTCCATGTCCCTGTAGCCTCGGAAACAGTAGGAGAGCCCAGCTGCTCGGTCTCTGCCTCGTCCGAGACCCCCCGGCAAGGCCTCGGACGCACCCTTCCTTCTCCGCCTCGGCCGAGGCCGGGCTCGTCCTGTATTCTCATCGCCTCCGCCTCAATTGCCCCTCTGGCGGGCCGTCCCATCCGTGTAAGTATCCCTAATTACGCCTACGTCAGCCACGATTGGCAGGGTATGGCAAAAAGGGTGATGGGACGGCGGTCAAATCACCTTTTTACCATCCCCTACTGACGGTGCAGAGACTACGGCTCCCTATGGACGCCCATTCCGCACTTTTTCACCGGAATCGGGTATGACACAGACCACTGAGACCCCTACGTCGTACACAGGTCACCTCCGAGGCCTCGGCAAAGAAGGCCTCGGCACGATCAGCTCCAGCACCCGCTAGGCCTCGGCACTCCACCAGGACAAGAGTCCACCAGGCACGACATGTCACCTACAGTGGAGGCCATGCTGACTAGACGTCAACAAGGACTCTTACGACTTCAACAGCCTCGGGCATGGCCTGCGTGACGCACCGGTGATCAAGTACCAATTGCCATTCCCGACACTGTGCTGCTACAGGAATAGGCCACAGTACTGGATCTTCCTTCCTCGCTAAGGCTCCACGTGTAGCTCTCTCATGTACTCCTGACTCCCTCCTTGTGGCTATAAAAGGAAGCAGCCAGGGCCGTTTCTAGGGATAGAAAACCACGCCAGCCCTCACGCAAAAATGCACTCACTCAATTCACGCGCGCTCCCACGCTGCCTGAGAGCAATGACTCAAGCAGCCCGCACCATACCACGCCGAGACCTGGGACTAGCTCCCTCTCTCACCCAGCGTGTAACCCCCTACTACAAGCACTTCGGTGCAGAGAATACAAGATCGATCTTCTAGACTGGACGTAGGGCGCCGATTGCCTGAACCAGTATAAACCTTGTGTCTCTTTGCATCACCATCCGGGATTAGGGGCACGCAGTTCATATTTACTGGTTGGTTGAGGACCCCCCGGTCCGAAACACCGACAATTAGACACTGCTGGATCTGAGGCTGAGTGGCTTCGTGATCTCCTTATGGATTTACCGGTTGTTGAAAAACCCATACCGGCTATTTCTATGAACTGCGATAACCAGACTGTGATTACAAAGGTTAACAGTTCTAAGGACAACATGAAATCCATAAGACATGTTAAGAGACAACTAAAATCTGTTAGAAAATTGAGAAACTCCGGAGTAATAGCGCTGGACTATGTTCACACGTCTAGCAATCTGGCAGATCAATTCACTAAGGGTCTGTCACGCAATGTGATAGAAAGTGCATCGAGAGAGATGAGTTTGAGACCCACTTAAATTTAGTACAGTGGTAACCTGTTCTATGTGATCGGAGATCCCGTGAAGTAGGACGGTGAAACAAGCTAGTAGTAAATTGTGAGAAAAGATCCTTAATAAGACCCATTTCTGATGCATGTCTTTCATTTCGGTAAGGCAGGCTGACTTTTGCCTTAATGTGTTCCAAGTGACTTAGTAAAGCAAAGATGTCCTACAGAACATCTTTTGAGGAACACACCTATATGAGTCAGATTGCTGGTCATAGTCTATGAGATTTGGGTGATCTCTAAATACTCATGAAAGGCACTGAAGTATGACTTATACGCTTCAAATAGAGGTGATGCCTTTTTGCTGTCCAGTATCAGCCAAGGACTTTAGTGACATTCATTTCACACAAACTGTCAATTCAAGGCTTAGTCCATTGTTCAGTTGTGGCTGAGTGAAACTATTGTTCTAGATGGATGTTTAACTTAACAGTCTCCATCGAAACACTGGTATATAAAAGAAATGTGGTTCTGAGACTACTTTGTTACAAACCCTAGAGTTTGGTGCAGATTGTTGGATATAATATGGGCTTGGCCCATATAATATTTAATAAATCAAATAGATGGTTACAAACCCTAGAGTTTGGTAGGAATTGTCTCAATTGTTGCGCAGTTTATGTTCCTCGTTCATGTTGTTAGGGATATCCCCAATTTCATGTTTTGAATTCTTTTATTTATAACATTACATTTGAGCTACATATCCTAGGTTCAATGCTTAACATATTTTGTCTTTTATTAAGCTAGCCTACATTATAACTTAAGTGCATATCCCTTTGGAGTTTGGAACTAAATAGGGGGGTGTTTGGTTCTTTAGGCGCTCCTAAAATTTACGTCACATCAAATGTTTAGAGGCTAATAAGGAGCATTAAATATAAATTAATTATAAAACTAATTACATAGATGGACGCTAATTTCCGAGACGAATTTTTTAAGCCTAATTAATCTATCATTAGCACATATTTACTGTAGCACCACGTTGTCAAATCATGAACTAATTAGGCTTAAAAGATTCGTCTCACAAATTAGTCGCAAGTTGTATAATTAGTTTCGTAATTAATCTATATTTAATACTCCATGCATGTGTCTAAATATTCGATGTGATAGAAATTTTAGAAGAAAGGGAAGAAACCAAACAGGCCCTAGGGCCTAAAGGCACCAGGAAGTTAGAACGGCATGGCCTGAGCCCACGGAGTGAGAAGTCGACTTATATAGGTGCCGTTTGGATCCACAAGAGATTTTAGGAATCTGGATTCTAGTTAGAGATTTTTTTTAATCTGAATTGTAGGTAATAAACATCTCTAGCTGTTTGGATGCTAGATTCTAGTTAGAGATTTTAGGAAGTTGAAAACATTTTTTTTTTTGTCTAGAATACCCTCGAGCATTTCTTGTTGCTGTTGTACTGCAGTTTGGGATCTCAAGTATGTGAACGTGAGCTTTTAGGCCCAAACGTGAAGAAGCAGCCCGGTAGAGAAGAGAGGCCATTAATTGAAGCACAGAATTACTCAAAAAAAAAATTGAAGCACAGAAGGGCAGCCGCATCCACGTTGACCAAATGACCAGGAGTAGTACGCAGGGGTAGTAGCGGACCTGAGTGGGGAATTGTCTTTTGATGTGCAGGTCAGCAGGGAGGAGAAAAAAAAATCCGGTATTATCTTTCAGCTTGTTCGGGGGTTCATTAAGATTAAGATTTTGATTCACCAAAGGTAGTATAGGGATTTGATTCATTATTCTTCACCAGATTCCATTTAGCTATCCCAACCCCATTATATATATATATATATATATATATATATATATATATATATATATATATATATATATATATATATATATATATATATATATACACACACGCGCGAGCCTTAGCTTGGTTTCGTCCCCGTCATGGCAAGGCCCCGGTCCGGAATTTAACTCAGCTATGATAATACGCAGTTTGTGTAGAATTCCATTTAGCTATCCCAACCCCATTATATATATATATATATATATATGAGCGAGCCTTAGCTTGAGTGGTTTCGTCCCCGTCGTGGCAAGGCCCCGGTCGGGAATTTAACTCAGCTGTGGTAATACACAGTTTGTGTAGAAAAAAAAACCCCTTACCTATCCCGCGTCCCAAAACATAGGTAAAAAGGTTCCGGTCCACTCACAGGGTTACGGATCCGGTGTGAGAGCGGATATAAGATTGGGGGATTTTCTTTGACCTGTGTAGGAGAGGTTTCTTCCTAGCCCAAAAACTACGGAGACTGTCTGCCACCGCAGGCCGAGTTTATATATATATATATACATACACACACATCATCTGCCTTGCCGAACCGAACCAAACCTAGCTAACCTTTCCACTTCCATGAAACAATCGTCGGCGATGTCGGACACCAAGAGTCCTGCGCCGCCGGCTAGCGAGTACCAAGACGACGAGCCGCTGGAGCGTCCGACCGGCCCGGCGCAGGCCCCCGCGGCCAACGGCGGGCTGGTCCTGACCACGCAGTGCGAGTTCCCGGCCATCGCGAGGGGCGCGTCCCGGGACAGATTCGCGGTGCTCGTGCACGCCAAGGCGCCGTCCGACGTGGCGCTCGCGCCGCTCGACCTCGTCACCGTGCTCGACGTCAGCGCCAGCATGAAGGGCCAGAAGCTGGAGCTGCTGAAGCAGGCCATGTGCTTCGTCATCGACCAGCTCGGCCCCACCGACCGCCTCTCCGTCGTCACCTTCTCTCGCCACGCCAGCCGCCTGACCCGCCTCGCGCGCATGTCGGACGCGGGGAAGGCCTCGGCGAAGATCGCCGTGGGGGCGCTCTGTGTCCTGCGGGGCACCAACATTGGCCAGGGGCTCCGTGTGGGCGCCCAGGTGCTCTCCGGCCGCCGGGAGAAGAACGCCGTCGCCGGCATGATCCTCCTCTCCGACGGGCATGACTCCTCCGGCCGCTGGACGAGCGTCGAGGCCGACGGCACCAAGGGCTACGCCAACCCCATGCCGCCCTCGTGCCGTCGTCAGAGCGGCCGGCCCGCCGCGCCGATTCACACGTTCGGCTTCGGCGCCAACCACGACGCCGCCGCGATGCACGCCGTCGCGGAGGCCACGGGCGGCACCTTCTCCTTCGTCGGGAACCAGGCGGCGATCCAGGACTCGTTCGCGCGCTGCGTCGGCGGGCTCCTGTCGGTGGCCGTGCAGGAGGCGCGCGTCGCCGTCACGTGCCTGCACCGGGGCGTCCGGGTCCAGGAAGTCAAGTCCGGCGCCTACGGGAGCAATGTGGGCGCCGACGGCCGCGCCGCCTCCATCGACGTCGGCGAGCTCTACGACGGCGAGGAGAGGCGGTTCCTGGTGCTCGTGTACGTGCCGAGCGCCAGGGCGACGGAGGAGGTCACCCGCCTCGTCAAGGCGAGCTGCACCTACCGAGAGGCTGCGACGGGCCATGCGCGCCTGGCCGCCGCCCCCGCCGCCGTGGTGCAGAGGCCGTCGGAGCTGACGAAGCTGCCTGCCCCGTCCGTGGACGTGGAGCGGGAGTGCGTCCGCCTCGCGGCGACCGAGGACATCGCGGCCGCAAGGGTGGCGGCGGACGGTGGGCAGAACGCGGGCGCCGCGCGGATCCTGGAGTCCCGGCTCAAGGCCGTGGAGCGGTCAGCGCCGGGGGCGGCCGGCGACGACCCCACGTGCGAGGCGATCAAGGAGGAGCTACGCGACCTCAGCGCGCGCGTCGGCGACCGGGCGGAGTACCAGAAGACGGGGCGCGCGTGCCTGCTGGCCGGCATGAGCTCGCACGCGCAGCAGCGCGCCTCGGGGATGGACGTGCAGTCGACGAGCAAGGCGAGCGCGTACCTGACTCCCAAGATGGAGGAGATGGTGGAGATCTCGCGTGAGAGCAGCGCGAAGCGTGGGGGTGGCAGCAGCGGGAAGCAGCCAGTCAAACTGGCCAAGGTAGAAGAAGAGGTGTAAGGGACGATTTCGTTCGTTCTGAATTTTGAATTCTGAATTCGCAAGACGGCATAAGCCGATTTAGCTCAAGTCTTCGACTACCTCTGCTCTGTATGTGTAGGACTTTAGTTTGATCTACTCCTAAATCAATTTGGCACAGCAAGTCTACAACACATCGCTGATGTCGTTGTTATAAACTTGGCATGTCATGTGTTGTGGGCGCCTTCGTAGGGCGCCAATATAGGCGCCGGCCCAGGCCCAACGGTGGCTAAGGGGTGGCCGGCGGTTATAGGAAGGGGAGGATTTTTAGTAGATTGACTTTTTGTTAGGAAAGTGATCCTGATTTATAAAGGACACCATAGATTGACTTTTTGTTAGAAAAGTGATCCTGATCTATAAAGGACACCATAGGCTTGTAATCTGGAATTATTGAAGAAGGAATAAACCTCCTAAGGTGGGCGGATTTCCCTTTGACGGTGGCTGCTAGCGATTCTGCCCCTGCCGCCAGCGAACCTCTCGCCGCACCACTTCCTCGCTACCCTTTGCGCTCTAACTCTAAGTCCAGTTTACTCCTCCACTCTCCCTTGCGTTCTCCCCACCGACGTCGTATCGATTTGGTATCGGAGACCTCTACGAGTGCATCGTCCCTATCCTGTAGATGCCAAGCTTATCGCATCTTGGGTAATCAGGCAAGTCCGACACCGGCAAGGGCGGGGCTAGAGGCGAGGATGACACTCACGGTGGCGCGGACTTCACTCGTGACGACGGGACGCCCATCGTGACAACCGCGACTCCTACGACGTGCACGGGACCGATCGCGATCGCGCCTGGGCCGACTTCCGCACGCGTGCGATACGACCGTCACTACTACGGGCGCGTACGCGACTACGACGACCGCGGCTACGGCACTCGCGACTTCGACCGCAGGGGTGACCGCGGGGGTGCCCGTGACTTCGACCGCGGCGGCAGCCGCGACTTAGACTTCGGCGGCCGTGCCTTCGGCCACGGCGAGCGCTACTGCGATGACTTCGAGGGACGCCGCGACCCTCATCGTCCGCCGAAGATTCCGTTCCCTAGCTTTAACGGGGAGGCGGATCCACTGATGTGGCTCAACAAGGCTGACAACTACTTCCGCGGTCACCTCGTGCCGGAGGACGAGAAAGTGTGGATGGCGTCTTTGCAACCTCTCCACACGAACGGCGATTGACCTCTACACTGGTGGCTTGGGTCAGCCCTTAGCCTCCGACGTCGAGCTGCAGCAAGCCATGAGCTTGGCACGGGCATACGAATAGCGGCAGGTGGAGGCGTCTACTGTCAACAGCTCGGCGCCGCCCAAGTCATCTACTCGCCGCGCCATTGCCTCATCGAGTGCTGCTGGCGCTGATGCTGTTACACATGACGGCAAGACGGAGGGGCCACGCCATCGTTTTTATCGTCTCACGTCGGCTGAGATCAATGAGAAGCGCCAAAATGGGCAGTGTTGCTTCTGCCTGGAGCCATACAGCAAGGAGCACAAATGTGCTGCACAGGGCGTCTTCCTCGTGGAGTTGGTTGATGGAGAGGACCCGCTGGATGACATCAACGACCTAGAGATCTCCCTGCATGCTCTCATCGGTCTTGGGCCTTCTGATTCTATGATGTTGTAGGTGGTCATTGGCAGCGTTCCGTTCAAGGTGTTGGTGGACACCGGGTCTACCCACACTTTCATTCACTCGGAGGTGGCCCGAGTTCTTGGACTGCCGATCACAGAACGTGCTGGTCTCTCGCTCTTGGTCGCCGATGGTGATCGCGTGCGTAGCCCCGATGTCTATGCCGCTATTGACGTCTCCATCCATGACGAGCGCTTCACCATCGACTGCTTTGCGCTTGATCTAGGCGCATTCGACCTCGTCCTTGGCATCCAGTGGCTATGGATGTTGGGCCCCATCGTCTGGGACTTCGCCGCCCTTTCGATGGCGTTCTGGTTCAACGGGCGCGCCCGTCACTGGTCCCGCATGGGTGGTTAGAGTGTCGCTACCCGCGCCATTGCTGATCCTCGTGTCATGCTGGAAGAGCTGCTCTAGTCCTTTGAGGACGTCTTCGCCACACCGCATGGCCTACCTCTAGAGCGTCGGTAGGATCATCGCATCCACCTCTTGTCGGGCTCCGCGCCGGTGGCGGTACGGCCATACCGGTACCCCTAGCTGCTGAAGGACGAGATTGAGTGCCAGTGTGACTGACATGCTGGCTCAAGGGATCATCCAGGAGTTGACATTGCCTTTTTCCTCCCCGGTGCTTCTGGTCCGCAAGCACGACGACAGCTGGCGGTTTTGTGTCGACTACCGTGCCCTCAATGACACAGCCGTCAAAGACAAGTTCCCCATCCTAGTCGTCGACGAGCTCTTGGATGAGCTGTGGGGCGCTCGGTTCTTCTCTAAGATTGACCTCCGCAGTGGGTATCACCAGGTGCACATGCACCCGGATGATATTCTCAAGATAGCGTTCCGGACGCATCAAGGTCACTTCGAGTTCCTTGTCATGCCATTCGGCCTGACGAATGCAACGGCGACCTTTCAAGCTTTGATGAACGACATCTTGAAGCCATTCATTCGGCGCTTTGCACTTGTTTTTTTGATGATATACTCATTTTTAGTTCATCTTGGTCCGAACACTTACAACATGTTAGGACAGTGCTCCAGCAGCTGCATGATCATTGCCTCTTTGCCAAGCACTCCAAGTGCTTCTTCGACAAACAGTCCATCGCGTACCTCGACCACATCATCTCCGCCGAGGGCGTCGTGATGGACTTCGACAAGGTCATAGCCGTGGAGGCCTGGCCCCGTCCACGCACGGCCTGGGCTCTTCGTGGCTTCCTGGGGCTCACCGGCTACTACCGCAAGTTTATCGCCGGCTATGGTGGCGTGGCTGCACCGCTCATAGCTCTCCTCAAAGGCGAGGGCTTCTCCTGGACGGCTGAGGCGGACGCCGCTTTTGTCACCCTCAAGGTCGCCCTTGTGACCGCGCTGGTGCTTCAGCTGCCCGACTTCTCCAAGCGGTTCATCGTCTACTGTGACGCGTCCGGCGCTGGTTTTGGTGCCGTTCTTCACCAAGGCGATGGTGCGGTGGCCATCTTCAGACGTGTTGTGGCGCCTCACCATGCCATGCTTCTAGTAGGAATTGATTGGTCTCGTTAAGGATGTGCGCCATTGGTGGCTCTATCTGTGGGGTCACGCCTTCACAGTGCGGACGGATCACCGGAGTTTGAAGTTCATCCTGGATCAGCGCTTGACGACGATTTCGCAGCACACTTGGGTCACCAAGTTGTTTGGGTACGACCTCTTTGTTGAGTACAGGCCGGGGAAGCTGAATACGGTGGTGGATGCCCTATCACGCCGTGATACGGACTCCAGCGATGTGGCTGCCCATGTGCTCTCTGGGGCATCATTCGCTATCTTTGACGACCTGCGCTGAGGTGCAGCGCGATCCTCAGGCCCAAGAGCTCCAGGCGTAGATCATGGCAGGCACCGCCCCAGAGGGCTGGATGCTCGTGGATGGCCTGCTGCTTATTTTAGAGATGGCCCTTCGTTCCTGATGCTTCGGTGCTCTGGCCTCATCTTCTACGTGAGGCCCATATAGCCGATCATGAAGGATCTCAGAAAACTCTTCATCGGCTGCGTGCGTCCTTCTACATCCAACGCGCGCATAAGCTCATTCGTGACTTCATCAAGGGCTGTGATGTGTGTCAGCGCAACAAGACCGAGCACCTGCACCCAGCTAGCCTTCTTCAGCCCCTGCCCGTGCCGGAACATGTCTGGAGCGACATTGCCATGGACTTTGTGGAGGGCTTTCCACGGGTGGGCGGCAAGTCTGTGATCCTCACGGTGGGTGATCGTTTCTCGAAGATGGCGCACTTCATCGCCCTCAGCCATCCATATTCGGCTAGCTCTGTTGCTCGGGCCTTCTTCGACAACATCGTGCGCCTACATGCGTTCCCGTGCTCAATTGTGAGTGATCGGGACACTGTTTTCACCAGCACTTTCTGGGAGGAGCTCTTCAAATTGGCTGGCGTCACTCTGTTGCGCAATTCAGCATTCCATCACCAAACTAATGGCCAGTCCGAGGTGACTAACCGCATTATCATCATGTACCTATGGTGTTTGGCTGGGGATCGGCCTCGCTCTTGGTTGCAGTGGCTGCCCTTGGCGGAGTTTTGCTTCAACACTTCCTACCAGTCCGCCCTTCGTGCAACGCCGTTTGAAGTGGTTTATGGTCGACCTCCGCCATCTCTGGTAACTTATCTTCCAGGCTCGGCTCGAGTGGCCGTTGTTGATCGTCAGCTCCGTGATCAGGATTCCTTTCTACTGGATATTCGTGCTCGATTGGAGTTGGCCCAGGATACTATGAGGGAGCAGCATGACAAGAAGCGACGCTTTGTTGAGTTCATTGTGGGAGATTGGGTTGTGCTTCGTCTCCATCATCGCACGGCGGCTGGCATCACTCCTCCTCCTGCTTCTAAGCTGGGGCCTCGGTTTTTTTGGGCCCTATCAGATCACGGAGCGTTTGGGTGTCGTGGCGTATCGCCTTCGTCTTCCACCAAAGGCTCGTATTCATAATGTTTTTCATGTGGCACTCTTTGAAGAAGTATACTGGGGATCCTCCTGCAGTTGTGGTGCCTTTGCCATCCATTCTCCATGGCTGGGTGTTGCCTACTCCAGCTGCCATTGTTCGCTCTCGTCTGAACCGCGGCCGTTGGTAGCTTCTTGTTCACTGGGAGGGCCGCACTGCTGTTGATGCTACCTGGGAAGACGTCGACGACTTCAAGGATCGTTATCCAGCATTTCAGCTCGCGGACGAGCTGTTTGTTGGGGAGGAGGGAAGTGTTGTGGACGCCTTTGTAGGGCGCCAATATAGGCACCAGCCCAGGCCCAGCCGTGGCTAAGGGGTGGCCGGCGGTTTTAGGAATGGATGATTTTTAGTAGATTAATTTGGTTTGTTAGGAAAGTGATCATAATCTATAAAGGACATCATAGGCTTGTAATCCGGAATTATCGAAGAAGGAATAAACCTACCAAGGTGGGCGGATTTCCCTTCGACAGTGGCTGCAAGCAATTCTGCCGCTGCCGCCGGCGAACCTCCCGCCGCACCACTTCCTCGCTACCCTTTGCGCTCTAACTCTCAGTCCGGTTTACTCCTCCACTCTCCCCTGTGTTCTCCCCACCGATGCCGTATCACATGTTATCTTGTTATCAATTATCATCAAGATTCAAGAGAAGGGAAGTTGGTCGTTGACCCATTGTGCTCGTGCTCGTGTATGTTCAAAAGTCATGCAGTTATCCTGTCAACATTTGGGCATGTCTTGTTGTTTGAAATATGATATTCCAGTCTTGTATGCCATTATTTGTTACTCCGTAAAAAAAATATAATTCTAACTTTTTAGGAACTCAAAAAACAATTTCAAATTTTACCAAATTTGTATGAAAACAGTATGATACAAGATAAGTACTCTCTATTTTAAATTATAAGTCGTTTTTGACTTTTTTGTTATATAAATTTTGCTATATATCTAGACATATATTATATCTAGATACATATAGTAAAATTGATGTACCGAAAAAGTCAGAGCAACTTATAATTTAAAAGAAGATAGTATAAATTGATTGTAAAATATATGTTACATAGTAAATCTAGTTGAATATATAAATATTATTAATACTATTTATCATAAAGTTAGTCAAAATTATACTCCCTCTGTTCCAAATTATAAGTCGCTTTGACTTTTTTGGAACATCTATTTTGCTATGCATCTAGATAAATAATATGTCTAGATACATAGCAAAATAAATAAACAAAAAAGTCAAAACGAATTATAATTTGGAACGGAGGGAGTAAGTACTAGTTTAACTTTGAATAAAGTCCACTACCGAAGGTTAAGCCACTAGTACATACGAGGATCTCAGCTTCATGTCTCATCCGGGTATAGCGCTGTGCAAGACCACGAGCATCTTCCAGGGGTGCACCCATAGCCATTGACCTCAATGGGTCTATAGTCTGAAATGTCAACAAATGTAAGAAACTTAAAATGTCTAAATGAGATCTAAATACCTCACACATACGTGTGTTCTTATTTCTATCAGAATGGCATGCATAATATATTTCAGAAGGCTTGGACACAAACTTGCACTGAAAAAGGCAGTTCTAAGCAAATAAACGGAAATTATGCGTATGGCGATCAATTCCAATATACCATACACAAAGCAGAAACAGAATAATATGCTTGGTAACTTGGATTATTAGTACCAGAAGTTACCGCTAAGGAGACTTTCAACATTTTGGTTTTCATGAGACTAAGATGGACTTCTGAAAATTTCACTCAAACAAAAAGACTTCCAACACCTTGGATATTCTAGGGTGTCACTGCAGTCTCCAGTTGCCAATGGATACTTTCAATACAAATTCACATCCACCAATGATATCTTCTAGAAATTTCAGGAGGTAAAGCCATGCTAAAAATAAGTCACTTTAAATGCCTGAGATATATTCATCTGCCTAAAAAAGTTATTCAAATCCATTCCAATCAGCAACTCACTCCATGAACGGTATCTGTACCCTGAAATATGCATTCCACATAACACCTATATTTCCTGCCCGCCAAACAGACAACTAACCAAGAGCCTTCAAAAACCCCTTACACATAAATTCCCACAATTGATCTCCAACTAAACAAGCCTTATGTGGGAAACTAACTCAGAGATCAGTAAGCACTTACCTGAGAAAATAAAATTCTGTTGAAATCCTCATACTCTTTCTCAATATTTCTCAAAGCACCTGATGGTGCCACTCATGCAGCCATCATGCCACAACAAGCATCTCAAACTCAAACACAACAGTCATTCGATAAAACTGGCCATATGGATCACACTTAAATTAGACGATTTCTACAGCTATACACGAACATGGGACACCAATCCACGTTAAGCAAATTGAATACAAAACGGGGGTTCAAACAAAATACACAGCAACCAGCTGATGCATCCCATGGCTTGTACACGCACATAGCCAAGCATGGAAACTCCAACATCAGACGGTACCAGAACATGATACATAAGCTATTACATGACAACAGCGACGAGTTCAGCAGAGTTCAACACAAGTTACACACCTTTACAAGATAAATACCAGAATAGATCACAATCAGTTCACAATCTCAGCCTACAATACACCTACAGTTAACTACACTCATAGATACGACAGATGGATAAATAGATTCCGGCTTCCACAAGGCAGGCAGTGACCAGTGACGACGACAGACCTACGATCCTTCAGTCTTCACCAGTGTAGAACTCGGTGCCTCGGTGGCAGGTGGTGAATACTGGAGCCAGTCTTTTGCGCAGACAAGTGCTTCCACAATCTCAGGTCGGAGAGAGCTTCTGTAGTCATCGAGCATGTGACTTCCTGTTCCAGCAGAGAATATAGAGCTGCCACTGCTTACCATGGACATTGGAATGGCCAAGATATCACGGGCCATTTTAGAGAGGGTTGGAAACTTTACTGTGTTTAGCTTCCACCAGTTCAGGATATCAAACTCTTGGATACGTGGAGTGAGGGATTCATCCAGGTACTGTTCCAGCTCAGATTTAGAGGGCTGGCTACTTTGGATCTCAGAAAGGTACATATCAAAGTCTAGAAGCCCATCACCAGTGGAAGCAGGCGGCCCTTGACTGTTATTCGCATTTGCTGGTCCATTATTCCCTTCACCTTGCTCAACATAGGCTGGGGTCAGTGGGAGTGGCTGAGCCACATACTCCTTATACAGCTCATGTACAGCATCATTGACCACCTTAACATACTTTGCAGCCTCAGCTCCATAGATTTTTGAGTAACTGAACTCAACAAGCTTCATCTTGAAACGTGGATCCATGACAACAGCAATGGCTAACACGAGGCTGCAATCTTTCCAGTACTTGTCAAACCTCTCATGCATATCCTTGGCGATGCTACTGAAAGTGGGATCTTCATGTCCTGTGCCATTTGCTAGCTCTAGCTGAAGTTTCCAAGCTTCATGGAAAAAGATGTTTGCAGTTGGGTTTGCTGCTGCCATGATGCTATGTGCAGAATCGTATAGCAGTTTCAGGTAATTACAGGCAGCCTCAACTTTCTTCCAATCCTCTGCTGATGGAGCTTCATTGTAGTTATCATCACATGTTTCTAGTGTAGTGAAAGTCTGCTTATAATCCAAGGCAGCTAACAACATCAGATAAGTGGTGTTCCACTGGGTTGTAACATCCAGACAAAGGGTCTTGGTACTGGGAATCTCCAGCTGCAGAGCAATCTCGGCAAACTTCTCTTCACGGGCAGAAGAAGCTTTTATGAACTTTATGCTTTCACGGATACTGTATACAACACCATGAATTGAAGCAATGACATCTTGTGCAACAGCGTTAAGGATATGGGCATAGCACCTCACAACAAAGAGCTGTCCCTTAAGCATGAGATTGTTCTTGTTGGAGAGATGATCCCTCAAATTTGCACTGTAGATATCATGTGAGGAGCATTCATTATCCAATGTGATGGTGAATAGCTTGTCCTTCATATTCCAGTCAGAGAGGCTCAAGCTAATTGCCTCACTAAGTGCATTCTCTGAATGAGGAGATGACACCATCATGAAGTTAAGCATTCTTCGGTGCATTTTCCACTCGGAGTCGATAAACTGCCCTGCAAGTGAAACATACCCAAGAGTCTGACTAGTTGTCCACAATCTTATAGTGAGACTGATCCTTCCAGGCATAGTGCTGAATGATTGAAGCAGGTTCTCCTTTTCCTTCTGATAAACAGCATACACCTCTCCTTCCATCGTATCAACATCCACAATCTTGAAACGTGGCTGCAGACTTTCAATAAAGATGGAAAATGCCGGCTGTTGGACAATGTGAAGTGGGTAGTCATGCTGAATGATCATCTTTGCCAAGTATGAGCAACTGCGGTCCTGATCAAAAGCAGCATTTGCATAACCAGTATATCTGTAGCGTCTCTTGGTTGGCCGCTCTATAGTTCCCTCACCATCATTGTCAGTCCCTCCAGTTGAAGGCAGTGCCAGCCTCTGCTCTTGATTCTTTATCTTAGGACAAGAGCCCAAGGTGATGTGCCTCTTGAGATGACTAGTCCCAGCAATCTTTGAACCAGAGCTGTAAGCAAAGGTTTGCTTGCAGAGCTTGCAGCAAGCCCTTGTGGCCCCACCTGCGACGGCTTCAATAGTGAAGTGCTCCCATACCAAGGACTTCTTTCTCCTACGTCTGGTTCCAGTAGTAGGAGGGGTTGTTACCTCAGAAACAACCAACTCATTTCCTTGAACCAAATCATCACCTTGGGACAGCTCTTCACCATGAGCCAACTCTTCGCCTTGGACCAACTCTTCACCTTGAGCCAATTCTTCACCTTGGACCAATTCATCACCTTGGATTGCCTCATTGCTGGGGGCAATCTCGTTATCTTGTGCCACCTGAGCATCATTGGCAGTTTCCTCAGCCATCCTGATAGGCTAGCAGCTGAACTTCTGAGATATCTGTCAGATATGGCAATGGTAAAATCAGAACATTGTCGAAGTGCAAAAATGGCAGGGGTTCAATTCTTGAGCATAACAGAACCGACAAATACATCATAATTTCACGATAGAAAGTCCTAGTAATCAAAGGAACTAGAGCACAACTCCAAAAATAAGTTGTATTAACAACTACACACTAAGTTCCTTCCTCAACAGCTCAGATTCTTGCAAATCACCAAAATCCTATACTTTATTTTCCTTGTCTAGACAAGATTTAACCCCCCCCCCCCACCCACCCATCCACACACACACACACACAGAGAGATCCGGCGGAATGTTGCCCACATCCGCTCGGAGGCAAAGCAATGATGAATGCAAGTAGTTAAACATGCTGAAGAGTTGGAACAGAAAAATAAATACGGTTCAGCAGAACCATATAGGGCTGCACATGAATGAATAGCTAAAGAATAAAATGTCACTGGTAACATAGCCATTTCTGCAGAAACTCAACCATGCTCATCGTTTACTTAAACTACCCCTGTCAGAAACAAGCCATGGTTGCTGGAACTTCTTACGAAAAGATAATTTATAGGCATAGAACCTAGCCTGGCTATTGGACTTCAAAATCATACTCAAGATATTGGACTTCAAAATCATACTCAAGTATGAGTACCCTGGTCTAGGCACAAGATTCACAAAGATGCAGCACTATGCGATGAATCGTTTAAGCTTCAAACGCTCAGGGTAAGATGTACTTAGTAATTCTCTAGCTAACAAGACTGATAGTGAAGAGTACTTTGGAGTCAATCTGTTTCCTATAAACTCTTCATCTTCACAGTCCTACCTCTGCACGACGATTCAAGCCTCGACAAAATCTTGAGTAATTCCCTCGGAAAATTGAACCCCTCCCAGAAGCACGCGCCACAATTTGCTCGTACCAGAATTATATATACGCTAAAAAAGGCCAACAATATAACGCACTTAATCTACAGCGCCAACAGCGCTCTGACGCGCACCCGGAAAAGAAAAAACTAACTGAGAACCAAAGTCGCCTCCGCTAGCTACAGAATTCCCCAAATTCCTGCCATGGCGGGCGCATGAAAGACAGAGACTACAAATCTGGCCCGCGGAACAGAACCTCGTGTCCCAAATTCGAAAGGGAAATCCTGTAAAACAGAAACCACGGGAAGGAGGAGCTCCTCTATCTGTGGCCTGGAGTTGTAGACCGGCAGACCGACCGGTAAAATTTCAGAAAATCGATCGAATGAAATGCTCCCAGCATGGCCCACTAGGCCCAAATCCGGACGAAGGGCAAAACCCTTCCAAATCGCGCTTAAACGAAACACAGAAGAAAAAGAAAAAAGCCCACAAATTTAAACGCCCCCGCACAGATCCGGCGGAATCCCGCGCAGATCCATCTATGAACTCGCAAGCGGAAAGAAATTATAACGCGACGAGACGAGACGAGAGCAGCTGGAGCAGGAGAGGGGAGGGAGAGCGGACGAGGAGTTTGGGAACGGAGGAGAGCGAGCTTACAGGGGAAGGGGAGGTGGTGGTGGTGGCCGAGATCGGAAGTCCGGACAACCTGCTAGGGCTCGGCCCAAGAAGCGCCCCAAGCAAGGCCGAGCAGGTGTGGTAGACCTGGCTTTTTGGGGGAAGGTGGAAGAGGGCGAGAGAGTGGCAGGTGAGGGAGACTTTGCTTTGGGTGGGGGCTCCCAAAGGAAATCAGCAGGATGCAGGGGGCGGAGAGCCGGCCAGGGTTGTGACGTTTCAATGGGCTCACGGTCACGGGTCGCGGCCCATCCATCCCCCTTCTCGCGTGTGGTGCGAGGCGGGCGGAGGCTGCCGGGCCGGCCGTGCGTGGCCCCGGGTTGTATTTGATTTTCACATAATTCGGTTTGGGCCCCACCGAATCGACCGATCTCAGGCTGCCTTTAGTAGGTGAAATTTTGAAATTAGGCTACTGTAGCACTTTCGTTTTTATTTGACAATTAATGTTTCCATCATGGACTAATTAGGCTCAAAACGTTCGTCTCGCGATTTCCAACCAAAATGCGCAATTAGTTTTTTTTTCGTCTACATTTAATGCTCCATGCACGTATCGCAAGATTCGATGTGATGACTACTGTAACACTTTTTGGAAAACTTTTTTGAAACTAAACGTGGCCTCAAAACAAAACAACAATGAGTAATCCCCAGCAAGGCAGGCTCCCAGCGAACCGGGCCCACTAAAACGGAGCCCAACAGACCAACTCGAACGGCGGACCAAAATCTAAACCACGAAACAATCCAATACGAAGCTACGAGCAGCGCGGATTTTAGGAGAAGAAGACGGAACATGCTCGCGGGAGGAGGAGGCTTACGTACGGGGAGTTGGGGACGAAAGAGCCGAGGCGAACCAAACCGGGGGCTCGGCTTTGCTTGCTGGGCCCAAGAAGGACGAAGGCCGAGTGAGCAAACCCTAGACCCTGTGGGGGCGAGGATGACAAGCCAGGGAGAGAGGAGAGGGCCTTCGAGGCTTCGACCTGTAGAGAGAGAGAGAGAGAGAGAAACCGGAGGGGTCTAGTGGTTGCGGTGCGGACGTGGATTGAATGGGCTAGCGGCCCATGGCGATGGGCCTCGTGACCTAGTGCGAGTTGTGAGGCTGCCGGTGGACCAGGTGGGGGAGGCCTCTCCCCACGTGGAACAGGCTGGGGTCTTCTTTGGACGGGCGGTTTCCTCATCTCGTGACTCGTGAGGAGGAGTTTCCCGGTGACCTGGTCTTCGGGTGGTTTGTTCACGCAAAGGTCTTGGGTTGGTTCATGGTTGGCGTCTCGACGGAGTTTGGTTTTATCTCATCAAACCCTTCCCCTCAATCAAAAAAAAATATTAGCTTTGAGTGTGTTCATGTGTCCAGAAACTGTAATAAGGCAGCACATGTGCTAGCTGCTTTAGGTGTGGGTGGCGTTGAGGGAGAGGAACATGTGTCATGTAATCCCCCTGATAGCGTCGTTGTAATTGTTGCTGATGACCTTTCATCACTTGGGCAATGAAATGTTCCCAGTTTCAAAAAAAATCTCATCAAACCCTTGGTTCCCTCAAATAAAATAAAATCCACTAAAAAATAATAGAATAAAATAAAAACTCATCAACCCTTGGACCTAGAGGCCAGAGGACCCAGCTCTCCCAAGGGGCCGACAGCGGCTGGTCTCTTGCGCAGTTGCGCGTGGTGTGCGATTTATGGCGCCCACATCATCTAAGACTTAAGAGTTGTTGGGTGTTGTGAGATAATCTCATTTCAGACGACTATAACACAATACATGTACGTGGTGAAAGTGTCGGCCTTGGCTTCTAGGGCAACTCGAGTAAGGGTCTTGGCGAGGTGATTAGGGTTTCCTTCCTCCCCCGTTCCTGTTCAGATCAACCCGTTTCTATTCAAACCTTGACATAGGATTAGATTGTTTGTGAACTAAGGATTTAGGGATGAAGTTGTTGTTGCACCGGTAGTTTTAATTCCGCATATTTTTAGTTGGGATGTGCAATTAGTTTTGAAACGACTATATTCACCCTCCCTCTATTGCTGGCCACCTTGATCCTACACAACTCAAACTTTTGGGGTTCAGCAGTGGATGCAAATGAAATTAGCAGCTACATTTGAATTGGTTGTCTTCGTCTATTGGTTCCGCTAGAATCGTCTAACGAGTTTGATCTCTACGAGAAACAAGCAGCTATAACAGGGCCCGCTCTTAATAAAATAAAATGCATTTAAACCGAAATGTGGCAACATGCTTCTCGATCTCCTTTCATCACAAGAATAACAATGTATTAACTTGATTATGTGTTTGGAACTTGGACCTTTGAATCCGCAAGATGATTCACAATGCATGTCAGAAAAGGCTTCGGTTGTAGCAAGGTAAAAGTTTCACTAAATTGAGATGTCTATTTCTAACATGCCCTTAATTTGTCGATTGAGACATGTAATAATATGTAAATTTTTGTCCTGATGAAGTTGCGGCGATGTGAGCAGTCCTGCTACGGAAAGGAAATTTCAATTTAAAACACAAGCCTTACTACTCGCCAAGTAAAGGCATGTAAGAGCATTTCCAAGAGTCTTTCTAAATTTCACTCTCTAAATTATTATTTGGAGAGCCATTTGTATAAAAATTATTTTCTATATCTTTTCATTTTTCCACAGTTCTTCTATATCTCATGCGCACTCTAGATATTCATTCTCGTCTTTTATTTTTTGCTAGCGAAAAATCCGAAATAGAAGATAGCTATATTTGGATGACCATTTAGACAAGCTGTTGGAGGATAGTTTTTCATTAAAATCTCTATTCCTAGCATTTAGGAAGGATATGGAGAGTCTCTCGGAGATACTCTAAGGCTGTAATAACATTACATACAAGAAACATGGTCTACGTGGAGCATCAATTTCAGATAGGGATGGATGATCTAGAATGCCAACAAAATGTATTGCTTATTCCAGCCATACCCAACTATAGCAAACACCTAGCATTTTAGGTTGGGAAATAAATATCCAGATCATGACCATAATCAGCGAGATATCGATCAATATATAGGAAAATGTGGCAAACCTAATGACAATAACGTTACCAGGGGAATGTGGGGATTGCTGGTTCAGGAAAAGACTAATGGGGTTCGAATGACACATTTGGGTGGTGGCTCCAAAAAAGATAACAATGATCGCGTCGTCTATATTCAGACTCCACAAGGTTTATATGTAGTTCTGTCTCCAAAACTTTGTGACACCGAGACCTGAGCTTGGAGATCCGCCTAAAATGAATCAGTAAACTAATAGCAGGGTGCCAGTAAAACATCATGTCTTGGACATATTTGTTCAGAACATCGTCTCATACCCATAACTTACAATATCCATGCACTGGCCAATCTGTGTACGTACAGGTCACACATGAACCATGGCTTAATCGAGATGGCTATTCAGACTTAAGAAACAGGGTCAAAATCACAATCAGGAGATTTGCCAA